AACTAATTTTTTTTCTTTTAATATTAACACCTACTATATATATATATATATATATATAAAGGTGTGAAACGTTAGAATTATTTAACTATCCAATTTTTATTTTATTTCTATAAAATCACTTAGGGTCTTTTTGTCATTATAATGAGTAGTGTTGTTATTTGTACTAAAGACAAAAGGTAAATTTGTCATGACATATTTAAAATATTTACAAAAAAAAACAATTACATTTATTTTAATAAAGTATCTATAATTTCACTTCATAATTAGTCATGCCTTTTAGTAAAAATATCAATAATACTTTTTTTAATGATTAAAATACTACTACTCATTTTATGAACATTGAATAATTAAAAGGGAACTGTAATAATTTTAAGTAAAAAGTTTATATATGAATATAAAAGGAAAAAAAGATTTTGAGCCCTAAAAATAGTTTATCTTGCAGCATATTATCTGGACCTTCCGTTTTCAAGATTTTCAAGTGTTTATAGATGTACTTGATTTGAACCATTTTTGGAGTTTAGGATTTTATAATTAGAAATGAAAATACATTATCAAGTCATCCTACTAATTTTTTGCATCAAAATTATATTTACGATAAAATTTGGAGGTGTATCTTAATTCGATTGTTTAATGTTGCAACTATGTACAAACCATACCCTAATTTTAATAATTCAAGGCCTTTTTAAATAAAACCTACATGATGGTTTCTATGCGGTCTAGCCCAATATGCAGAAATGCAGGCTTCTTAATAAATATATTTTAAGATAGATTTTACGACTTAACTTTTAAGAACATGTAATCTCTAACATGTAGATCATGAATATGAAAAAATAAATAATTTTTAAAAATTAAAAATATTAATTCTAACAAGAAAACATTTGGACAATTAATTTCCACTATTTTTAGATGGAACACCTACTTGCATCCATCTTTAAAATGGATGCTTTACACTTTTTAGACCGGATATGTAGAAATACGGTTCAGCCCGCATGAAACAATTTTTCTAGCGGTAAGGGATGTTACCACAAAAGATTAAGTTTGAGATTAGATTGTTGGGTTATAAGGATGACAGCAGCCGACTCCAAATAATTTAAAAAAAAAATTCGGTAATGATGATGATGATAGTGATGGTCTCTATCAAGTTCATGACGATAAGGGTTGCTACAGCAGAAGACTGAGATTGAAATCAGATCATTGGGCATAAAGCATGTGGGATGCGCAATCTCTTCCTTTTCCCAATAATCGAGATGCAAAATCTCATATCCCACTTAATACAAAACGTTGCTTGTAAGTGGTATTTGACTTTCTATTAGGAAATAGTGTGAAGATGATAGATAACAGTAAATAAGGAAAAAGGGGAAAATCACATGCCAAAACAGAGGAGAAAAAAGAGAAAAACTAGTAGGAAATAGTTGAACCTGATAGTGATATAAACCCATCATTATTTTCACTTGAAAATGGGTGAGAGAAATTGAAAGGCTGATAGGATTATAGGAGGCCATTCTAACCCCTTGTATGTGGCAAGGAAATTTAGTTCCTGTTAATTTTGGGGAACGTATTATGTAGAATTATGCACGTGCATTCACTGTTAAGAATGACAGTTATTGACAAGAAAGAGTCATTTTTACACTAGGGATGGAATGTCACACTTTCATTATATGGTTTCTAACCTTCTATACTCCGTAACAAGGGCGAATTGGTGGAACTTGGGTCTTCTGCTCCCAAAGAATTCTACCAATCAAACATACCCATGGGGCCCTTCTTGACAAAATTGGGAATGATCTTTGGGTCCCAAATTTTAAGGTACTAAAATTCTTGAGGTATGTTTAGTTTCCTTCTTGACAAAATTGGGAATGATCTTTGGGTCCCAAATTTTAAGGTACTAAAATTCTTGAGGTATGTTTAGCTCGTGGGAAATCTCTCTTTGGAAGAGATTTCTTGACGAACCACTATTGCTCATGTTTGGTTCATGGGAAAACCAATTGTCGCCTTCCCACCCCGTAAAAATATGCCATATCAATTTCGCACCTATTCTGGGATGAAATCGGCTTTCTGATGGACAAAATCTCTATTTGGAAGGAAGTTCCCATCAAACCAAACCAATTCTGGAGGTTTTACCATCAAATGTGCACAGACAAATGCTCCCACGGGAATTTCCGGTCCCTATTTATTTGTTTGGGCCATGAAACATTGGTTTTATGATGCTCCCCATTTTTGGGCAAAAATTAGCCAAAATTTAGTCCTTTCAACGCCTGAACTAACGATCCAACATGTTTGATACGACCCTGAAAAGTGAGGTATTTTCATGGAGTTTTATATTCGGAATGGCGTTTTCTTCATACCATTTATTTTCCTTACTTGAAAGTACTACCAAGACCCTGAAAAGTGAGGTATTTTCATGGAGTTTTATATTCGGAAAGGTTGAATGGCGTTTTCTTCATACCATTCATTTTCCGTACTTGAAAGTACTACCAGAACAAGCATCCTATTGGGAGCTTTTTTTTTTTTCTGGGAAAATATCATAAAAGGAGCTGAAAGCCCATAACACTAAACGGTATGCTTTTAAATTTTTATATAAATGAGGTACTTTTTTTTTTTTTTTTCTAAAACGCCCAAATTGTCCATATTTGGTATTAAGAATCCAAAACAATTAGGGTGCGGTTAGCATACGGATGCATCCGTAGCTGTAGAGGTAAGGTGCACCTTCAAATTTTATCATGGCATATAATTTTGATGTAAAATGTT